GGTGAAACCCCGTCTATAAAAAAAAAAAAAAGAGAGAGAGAGAAAGAGAAAAAGAAAAAAAAAAGGAAAGAGCCTTAATATTTCTCAGCCCACAATCCCCTAGCGTCTCAGTAATTTTTACATAGAGTCTGTGGGCCAACCTAAATACCAACAGCTCTGTTTATTTAGTTAGATCTAAACACCTTAGTAAGTATTTATGTCCTGACAACTTAAGAGTTATGTCAAAACACACACACACACTCACACAAATGGAAAGAAAAATAGCATTTTTATTATTTTATTTTATTTTTTTTTAGATAGAGACGGTCTGGCTCTGTCACCTAGGCTGGAGTGCAGTGGCCTGATCTTGGCTCACTGCAACCTCCACCTCCCGGGTTCAAGCAGTTCTCTGCCTCAGCCTCCCAAGTAGCTGGGATTACAGGCACACGCTGCCACGTCCAGCTGATTTTTGTATTTTTAGTAGAGACGGGGTTTCACCATCTTGGCTAGGCTAGTCTTGAACTCCTGACCTCGTGATCCACCTGCCTGGGCTTCCCAAAGTGCTGGGATTACAGGCATGAACCACTGCACCCGGCCTATTCTTAAATAACCACAGCTACTTACTAATGGGTTATGTATGTCTGTGGGGCACCACACAACTGTTCAAGCCTTAGGATCAGAGGGGCACTGCCACTCTCATTACCTATTCCACATTGATTTTCACTGGGTACTTGGCTTTTATTATAACAGTTGCTAAAACTGCAGCTTCACAAAGATAGTACCTCAGTCCCGTCTAACACTGTGAACTCTCACTACATAAAGCTAGAAGCTGATATGGTGTTCAACAGATGATGAGCATTGCTGTGTTTCCCTTATAACATTTAAAATATCCAGTGGCACCTCTTTGAGTTTGCTGTGGTGTTCTGACCTAGAGTAGCTTGGGGTACAATTTGAGAACCTCAGGCTTGGAAACTCGCCACTACGGAGCTGGACGCACCGTGAGCTCTCTTAGCGCCCTGCACATCTCTGTCGCGGCCCTTGGCAGATTGCATGGTAAGAAGCTGCTTATGTGTCTGACTCTCTCTTAGGCTGTGAACTGTCTGTGGGTAGGGACCATGCTTTCCTCCTCTTTTTACATCCCGTGATGATTCAAGGACTTTGTTTTTGGGTTTCATTTAGGTTCCTGGTAAGAGTTCCTTAGGAGGAGAAGAAAAAAGAAAGTAGAAGGAAAAGAAAGAAGGGAGAGGAGGGAGGGAAAGAAGGAAGGAAGAAAGCGAGAGAGGGAAGGAGGAAAAGGAGGGAGGAAAGGCAGAAAGAAGGAATGTGGCTTTGTCTCAGGCAGACTAATGGGAAAGCCATTTTTCCTTGCCAGCCTCCTTCAAGGGCATGAGGGGTTTCTCTGCGACCCTGGGACCAGGCCTGCCTTGAATTCAAAAATCCTCGGAGCTAAGGGTACGAAGTAGGAAGAATCCCCCCACCCCCCAGGGCTGCAAGGCCTTTGGCAGCTGCTGGCACCTCCCCTGTGGGAGGGACCGCTGCTCCTCGGTTTTTTAAAATTAGCCGTTATGTTTCTCTTCTTTGTGCCGTTCTTCTCCATCCTTAGTGGGCATGGGAGTTTTTACACTATTTCTTTTTCATATTCTGCTGCAAATGAACCCTACACGTTATTGGAAAGGTTAGGGCTAGGATCAGAAGTCAAATTTAGGTTCAGACATGATAAAACTTCAACAGTTCACATTTCACCAGTTCTAACCAGGAAGGTGCTATTGAAATCATTGATTGTTGTCATTTGTTGCTATAATCCAATGGGTGCATTTTAGTTTAAAAGGATATGCCTCCTTTATCTCCTTGAGGTCTCAAACAGCCTCTGAGTAAACTCTCTGCCAACTCCAGAGTCACTCTGAGGGTAGCAGGTGTGCAGGCTCAGTCTGGGGTTTGCGGCCCACCCCACGTACTCCCACTTGCTCTTGGCATTGGCCCCATGGGTGGACCGTGAAGGTAGGGTGCTCTATGGCAACAGTTTTCCTTCAGCAGAGTGGAGAGGGGGAGACTTGTTCTGCCATGCCCATGTTCAGTCTTTTCTGTGGGCAGAGTTCTGGGAACGTGCTTAGCCCAAATTGGTGCCAGCCTGGCAGTGGGTGAAGGGCCAGTGAGGTTTGTGTGTGGCTCACGACCTTAGGGAAAGTGAGATTTTACTCCTGTAACCTCTTGCTTGGAGAATAGTACACCCCTGTTTCAGATAGGTAAGAACTTTCTTGAAGCTTTCAAAAATGAAAATAAAAATGTTAAAGTACACGGCTGCCAGAAAGTCCTTCCTGGTAGCTAACTTGAGCGCTTTGTGCTTATTTTATTTTGGCCACCTCCTCCCCACACCCCCCGTCGGGAGCACGTGCACCTGATACGATAACCTTCCACCAAACCGGGGACCTCTCAGATCTCGGCTTTTTGGAACAAAGACTTTGGATTTCCTTAGCCTTTCATCATCATCTTATCACCCAAACCTTTCATTATCTTTCTCAACTTTTTCTTTGAACTCTTTCCAAAACTTGTCTTTTGAGTTACAGGGACCATAACTTAATTAGATCTTTCATTTCCAGAGGATACTCCTAGTGCCTCGGAAGAAATAAATTAAATTTCAGTCGGATATATTTCATTGGGGGAAGGGTGTAGAAAAAAAGAAATTGGATTCTTTATAAAATAGCACATTGTCTGGTGCCACAAATGAGTCTTCCTTTTCCCAGTTGTTTTTGGAACAATGGGTCCTTTTTTGATGACTTTAATTCCTCAGAGTTTCTAACCTCTAAAAGGTCATGATTTGTGTTCTTTTGTGGATACACGGCTTCTATACTGAAAATAAGCATGATGTGTGACCTCTAATTGTCTGGTAAGTCATGAGCAAACAGACAAGGCTGCAACCTTGTCTGCCCAGACAAGCAGCAGTTAAGCACCTTGTCAAAGCGTGGGAATGAGCGTGTGTGGGTGTCTGTGCTTCTAGCCTTTTCTGCACCAGCTGTTCCAAGGGGAGCAGACAGAGCTGTCTTGCTTCTCCGTAACTTCGTCTCCCTGTAAGTAAACTTGTCTTTTACAATGCTGTTCTCATTAGCTGTGCAGACTTCCTCATACCGATCATTTGGTATCTGTACAGAGACTTTCATGGGGGAAGGGACAGTCTTTAACTTGCCTTAAAACCATCTCTCTGCGGAGCAGAGCAGCAGAGGCTAGCCTTTGCTCAGCCATCACCCCAGTCAGGCTGCTTAAAGCATATTTCGTCACTTCTTTCCACCTGAGTTTTGCCTTGTGTCACATGAAGAAGTTGGGATCTCTGAGGTCCCTTCCGATCCAACCCTGCGATTCTCACAGCATCGGTCATCTAATTGTTCCATAGAAGGGTAGGGCAAGGAAGGAGGGGGTGGGTTTAGCAGCCAGTGGGGGAAAGGATGCTTGCAGAGAGTGCCGGTGTAACTCAGATTCCCACTCATCTCTTCTCCCTCCCAAGGATCCTGAATCAACCTAGTGTGAAGGGACAAGAAAGAGCACCTATTGATCACCCATGATAGGTCAGACGCTGTCCAAGGCTCCTTTTCTACACTGGCTCATTTAGTCTTTACATCTCACTATAGATCTACCAGGTGTTTTCCACCTCAGCAACCACCACATGCCCCATCCACCCCACCCAGATATGTCTACACCCTCAGATTTCACTTGAAATGTTCCAACCTTAGTGCAGCCTTCCCCAGCTGCTCAGACCAGGTTAGAGCCCCCTGTCTTACGTTCTTATATTCCCTATGCTTTCCCTCCATTACACTTAACACCAATGTAATTAAATAATTATCTGCATAATTAATATTTACATGCCTACTCCACAGAAAACTCCTTTAGGGCAGGGATTATATAAGTCTCGTTCATTACTGTATTCCTAGAGCCTAGCACAGTGCTGGCAAAATAGTTGAGATTCAGTAGACATTTGCTAAATAAATGTAAGTGCGAATGCATGAATGAATGAAAGGATGGATGAATAGCAAAGCTGGATACGAATCCAGAACTATCTGGCTCTTGGAGACCTGTGTATAATTTCAAAAGAGCTCCATTTGTAAGCTTGTCCACAGAGTCTCACAGCTATGACCAGCCTGCGGATACTTAGCCACTGTTAGTCATGCTTTGAGTTGTTTCTCCAGAAGTGGGAATGATAGCTGCACTGCTCTGGCCATTCCCTTTAACCCAGTGATACTTGTCACCAAAGATGTCTGTAAAATACTCGAAGATGATGGATCCAGCCTGGTGGTGATTGGAAGTGGGTGGTGGGAGACAGTGAACTGATCCAAACCAATTGTCCTTGTGAGCATTTAGCCCTATGTTTTCATACTAATCAGCAGCAGCCTGGGCAACATAGTGAGACTCTAGTCTCTACAAAAATAAAAAAATTAGCCAAATATAGTGGCATGCATTTGTAGTCCCAGCTACTTGGGAGGTATAGGCAGGAGGATTGCTTGAGTGCAGGAGGTCGAGGCTGCAGGGAGCCGTAATCACATCACTGCACTCCAGCCTGGGTGACAGAGTGAGACCCAGTCTCAAAAAGAAAAGAAAAAAGAAAACCATCAGCACCACTTCTAATACATTCTGCCAAAGGGGCTCAAAACAAGAATCTGCTCTGTCAGGGATCTGGGTCAGTAAGAACGAGTGGGTGAAGAGGAAGGAGGAAAAACCAAGACATGACAACCTTTAGAGAAGCAGAAATAAAACTCTAATGTGGAAACTGCCAAAAATAGACTGCCGGGGCTGTCAGACTGCATGCAAATCTGATGCTAATTACATGGAAATTAATTACAAGTCCTAACTTCCATATGCCTCGATATGACCCTTGGGGGAAAACCTGCGGCAGGTGTCTGCCCCCCACCACAGAGGAGTGAGTGGAACACGGGCTTTGATGTCGCCTCCTTCACACTCGGCTCTTGCCACTGCAATGAGGAAGGCTGAGAGGAGGCTAAAAATACTAACAATAGAAATTTGATTTCTTCTTTCAGACAAAAAGCCTTGGCATCCACGGGAGGAAGAAGTGTTCAGGCAGCATGTGACTGGTTGGTATGAGATAAATAAATTGAGAAAATAGTGTATGATTAACTCTGAGTGCATGTGGATGAGTGGGGAGGTGAAGACTTTCTCTAATGGACCCTTCCAGAAGAGACAGGAACCAAAAGACTATCAAGCTCATTTCTCAAGTCAGTTGCCTCCTCTGCTCTAGCCCCAGGGTATGTTTCTCCTTGGAGCTGTTTAAAGAAAATCCTAATTCCCAGATAGAGCCCCCCTCATAAGATCTGCCCCCATCTACTCACTTGGAGACTCACTTTAGGTGTATGGATATTGGGCAAATCAATTTAGAAAAGTACCCTACTTACCTTCCAGCGTATCCCTACCCAGGCTGGACCCCACAAGGTTACCATTCTGGGAGCTTCCCTTGTCTTTGGAGGGACCTGGGTTTAATTATAGGCTGACCAGAGGGACAGGCTGGGTTGGTCCTAGTGGACTGGGAAAGGATTTGAAGTTGATCCAAGCACGCTTCTTGGAGAGTGGTTTTAGGACTTTCTTAGGGAGTTGTAGGATGAGTAGGCAATATGACAAGAAGGAAGACAGAAGTTGCTGCATCAGAGAGTTGGTTATGAAGTGTGAGTTTCCAGTAGTAGATTTTTAAATCCTGAATGAAAACCCTTCCCTGCACTGTGCCGACGGTTTGGAGCACATGGAGGGTGGATCTGTCTCTCGGTTCTTTTTTCCCTCGCGTTATTCTCAAGCGACACCTCGTTGGCTCAATTCTGTCTTACAGGTTATTCTCCCACGTCGGTGACCCCTTCCTGGATGACCCTCTGCCCCGGGAGTACGTTCTCTACCTCCGTCCCACCGGCCCCTTAGCACAGAAGCTTTCGGACTTCTGGCAGCAGTCGAAACAGATCTGCGGGAAGAACAAGGCACACAACATCTTCCCCCACATCACACTCTGCCAGTTCTTTATGGTGAGCAGCAGCGCCCCCACCCCTGGGAAACCCGGCTCCCAGGATCCCGAGCCGGCCCTTTAGACCTGGAACAAAGCTGGAACCTTGCAGGAAGATGTAAGGAATAGTCATGGGCTCCTAGAGCCGGAGGGACCTTCAAGGGATCAGTGAGCGCCACAATGAGCACCTCACCCCAACGCTTCCTAGTTTTATCTGCTGAGGCCCAGGAGCACCCCAGGATGGGGCAGCACCATGATTGCAACCCTCTGTGAGAGACACACTGGTCTGGCTGCTGGAAGAGAATCACTGATCTAGCTTCACCCGTTTGCTGTCTACCTTCTCCACTCTTACTACAAGCAAAGAGTAGGAGCTAAGAGCAGGGAGCTAAAGGGGAGTCTATAGACAGGGAAAGTCATTTCCTGTCTATAGGTTTTTTTCCTACTAGATCCTTCCAGAGAAAGCAAAGATATTTACCTGCCATTGTTACCTAGTCTATAATCCTAGATGTCAAAAAGCTTATCTACTGACAATTTTTTTTGAGAAAGTCTCGCTCCGTCACCCAGGTTGGAGTTCATTGGCACAATCTCGACTTACTGTAACCTCCGTCTCTCAGGTTCAAGTGATTCTCCTGCATCAGCCTCCCAAGTAGCTGGGATTACAGGCGTGCACCACCGTGCTCGGCTAATTTTTGTATTTTTTTCACCATGTTGGCCAGGCTGGTCTTAAACTCCTGACCTCAAGTGATATGCCTGTCTCGGCCTCCCAAAGTGCTGGATTACAGGCATGAGCCACCGTGCCCAGCCTCTACTGACCAAATACAATCCCCCCTCTCTATCAAACATGTAAATACATTTTGTCTACTTCAGCTCTCTGTGGTAACAAAGAAGAGTTATCTCCATATATTCAAGATAAAACAAAGTGATAGCATTTTAAAACATTTTTATAAAAACGATTTTGCTTTTTTCCCCCAGATATATTCTCTCTTTTTTTCTCTCTCTCAGGTAATAATATGTTCCTAACACCTTCTCTTTTACCATTCACTCTGAAAATTAAAGTGACTATCATTTCCTCTTAGTCATCCCAGGATCTTTCTCAAAATGCTTCAGAGTTTGAGAGACATGTATTTTTTTTTTTCCAATGCTCTCAGGAAGGTAGGAGGATGATGTCACAGCTCTCTGGGACTCATTCTTCCCAACTATCATGAGGGTGGATGTAGAGTCAACTTCTGAGCGTCTAAGAGGAAAAGAAAAGGCACAGATGATATAAAACAGTAGAAAACGTGCAGCTTCTCCTGGGATGCTGCGCTCTCTCCTGTCACAGTCCTTCATTCATTTATTTATTTCACAAGCAAGGAGAACTTTGATTTTTTTTTCTTTTTTCTTTTTTTTTAATTGAGACAGAGTCTCACTCTGTCACCGGCTGGAGTCCAGTGGCATGATCTCGGCTCACTGCAACCTCTGCCTCCCAGGTTCAAGCGATTCTGCCTCAGCCTCCCGCGTGGCTGGGATTACCAGGCATCCACCACATTGGGCTAATTTTTGTAATTTTAGTAGAGATGGGGTTTCACCATGTTGGCCAGGCTGGCCTCGAACACCAGACTTCAAGTCATCCACTCACTTCGGCCTCTCAAAGTGCTGGGATTACAGGCATGAGCCAACGTGCCCAGCCTGATTATTTTCTAATTGATAAAAATTGTATACCTTTATGGTGTATACCATGATGGTTGAATATATGTAAGCATGCGGAGTGCCTAAATCAAGCTAATTATGATTAGCTATAGTCACTATTCTGTACAATAGGTCTTTTGAACTTATTTCTCCTCTCTAACTGAAGTTTTGCGTCCTTTGATTAACATCTCCCCAATCTTGCTCCCCTCTCTTGCTTTCTGCTCAACCGGTCCTACAGCATTTTGGCTGGGCTCACAGGGGCCACTTCAGAGCAAGGAAAGGAGGGAAGAGTCACTCGTTCCCCGTGTTCATCTACCAGTAGGGTAATCTGTGTCTGAGTAATTGGGAGACTGCAGTTCCTCTCTCCTGCCACAGACAGGGGTGATGGTTAAGTATTTGCATTATCAGCCTGCTCTAGTCTCTGGGGAGAGGATACCAACGTTAAGTAGCAGCAGACCTCCATCTCCCCTTGTCTCTGAGTGAAGACTGCCTGTTTTTTCCTGCCAGTGCGAGGACAGCAAGGTGGATGCCCTGGGGGAAGCCCTGCAGACCACTGTCAGTCGCTGGAAATGTAAGTTCTCGGCCCCGCTGCCCCTGGAGCTCTATACGTCCTCCAACTTCATCGGCCTCTTTGTAAAGGAAGATAGTGCAGAGGTCCTCAAGAAGTTTGCTGCTGACTTTGCTGCGGAGGCTGCATCCAAAACCGGTGAGCAAACGGCTGCCAGCCCAGCCCTGGGCCCTGTCAATCAAAGAGTTGGAAAGGAAAAAGGATTGGAAATGGTGGTGGAGGAGCAGGATGGGGTTAGGAGGTGGAAGGCCCTGCAGGAATGAGCACGTGTGACAAAAACCAGAGCCTTTTCCTGCAGCCCCACACCTTTTTCCTGCCTTGTAAAATGTTCACTTCTCTTCTGCTAATCTTTGGAAAGACAGACTATGTAAGGCTTATTCCCTAACACCCAAGTTGAAGTTTCACAAATGACTTCCACACTGAACTAGAAACACATTCCTTTGTAGCACCACCGTCTCCTCCTAATTCAGAATTAAAGAACCATCCTTTCTCCCTCCCAAGCTCCCGCCCACATAGATGTTTATCTGGGTCTCATTGTTCACTCCACGAGAGTCCAGTCTTTTCTCAGTGGGTTAGAGGAGACTGGAAGCACTTCTTATTGTATCACAATAAAATCCACCGAGCCAATACCCTTCAAACTTGCCGAAAACCATTAGACAGGATCCTAAGCCTCCCTAGTCTGTTCAAAAATGTAACCCCATCCAAATGTCTCCTGCTCTTCTCATGGGAGCTCTGAGTTTAGGCCAGCTGAGATTTTCTGCCAAAGGAATTAGCTTAAAGGCGTGCTCGAGGCAGGAGATACAGCGGAGGTGACAGGAGGGAGACGTGTGCAGAGCTTTCCTGTCTGACTACAGGTGTGGACAAGCTCACTTAGCTCAATGAAAGCAGGGAAACAGACAGGCAGTCTGGTGGGGGGACAGGCTCTGTTGACTCACTCCAGAATTCAATCACAATCGCCAGGTACTGGTCACCTACTTTGAGGATTCCTTCTACATGAGGAGTGCCACAGAGAAGAGAATAAGAGGTGGTTTCTCCTGACCACGCCCTGCGTAACATCAGCTCTGAAAAGAGAAAGGGGTGGCTCCCCCTTCACGGAAGGAAAGAAACTCGCCCGGGGAAGATGTTGATCAGGACAATGTAGGAAAGGCCTGTAGGCGGACAGGTGGCAGGAGCACAGGCAGGCCTGAGAGGGTGCGAGCAGAGCCGTGTGCTGAGTGCAGAGCTGGAGGAGACCTAGAACTTCCCTACCCCTAATTTTCTTTTTTTTTTTTTTGAGACGGAGTTTCACCTTTCTCGCCCAAGCTAGAGTGCAGTGGTGCCATCTTGGCTCACTGCAACCTCGGTCTCCTGGGTTCAAGCGATTCTCTTGCCTCAGCCTCTCAAGTAGCTGGGACTATAGGCGCATGCCACCACGCCCGGCTAATTTTTTTGTATTTTTAGTAGCGACGGGGTTTCACCGTGTTAGCCAGGATGGTCTTGATCTCCTGACCTTGTGATCTGCCTGCTTTGGCCTCCCAAAGTGCTGGGATTACAGGTGTGAGCTACCACACCTGGGCCCCAATCCGTTAGTTTATGGAGTGTCAGAGAAGGGGAAGACCTGAGCAGAGCCACACAGTTTGCTCCTTGGTGTCTTGGCCTTCGGCCTAGACCTCACCTGCCATTGTTCCCTGCTGCTATTTTCATCACCAGCTCAGGCCCTTTGTTCCACATTCCTCTTTACCAGAAAAGCCCCACTCAGGGCTTGGACCTGTGAGTGTGATCGTGGCTCAGCATCACTGCAGGAGCACAGTGCTCTCAGAAGGAACACAAGGACCGTAAGACACCTCTGTACTTGGGGAGGGGGTCTCTTTACACTCCCCAACCCCCACTCCCAGCTCTTCCTCTCCCCTGGCCGACAGGACTGGTCTCTGGGTCCTGACTTCAGAGAAGCCTGACATTTCATAGGAGCTTAATATTTCAGAGAAAGAGCATAACAGAGAGGCAAATTATTTCCTGTTCTTATCCCTCAATCTCCAGGAAATGGCTTTTTCTCATCCCACAGTAGTTATTGTCAGAACCACTAAATCCCCACAAGAACCAAAAACTAATGTCAAAGCCACACAACCCAAATCCTTCGCAAATGAGAAAAGCAAGTCTCAGCCAGGGCCGCAGCAGATTCTTAGACTGCATCGTGAGCGAGAAGCAGCTGAAGCCCCAGCTTTCCCGGTGGGATGTGGGACTCCAAGATCCTGCTGTCATGAAGAACTTGGCGGGCTTCGTTTCTCTGCCCTTGTGTGGCCCCCTGGTGGGGAGGTGGAGAACTGGGTGACCACGCACAGCTTAGCTGGTCCAGCTCCTCGTTACCTGGCGTGGAAAGCCGGCCACTGTGTCTTTGCCCTGGAACTTACACCTTGGTATTCTCCAGTTGTTAGCAGGCCTGGATATTATCAAGTAGATTTAGTGCCATCCTCCATTCGAAGTGGTCAAAGAAGATTCATTCGTGTGCATTTATTCATTTAACAAGTACTGAAAACTTGCGTGATACGCTGAGTAAGGAAATAATGTGAGCAAGAGACAAGAACCTTGTCTCATGGGACTTACACCAAAGAAAGGCAATGCAGTATTTTTAAAAAGTACTTAAAACCCAAATGCCCAATTTCTAGTTCTATCTTGGGCCACTAATTCTCTGTGTGACTTGACCAAGCCCCTTAAATTCTCAAATTCCCTGATTTCTTCTAGTTGCAATTTCTTCATTATTCCAGCTTGTACAGTAGATGATCTCCCTCATTGGAAATACAAAAGAGGTGGCCAGGCGCCGTGGCTCATGCCTGTAATCCTAGCTAGCACTTTGGAAGGCTGAGGCAGGTGGTGGATCACAAGGTCAGGAGTTCGAGACCAGCCTGGCCAATATGGTGAAATCCTGTCTCTACTACAAAAAAAAAAAAAAAAAAAAAAAAATTAGCCAGGCATGGTGGCACATGCCTGTAATCCCAGCTACTCAGGAGGCTGAGGCAGAAGAATCACTTGAACCTGGTAGGCAGAGGTTGTAGTGAGCCGAGATTGCACCAGTGTACTCCAGCCTGGATAATAGAGTGAGACTCCGTTCCAAAAAAGTAAGAAAGAAAGAAAATACAAAAGAGACAAGGCATGGTGGTTCACACCTGTCCTCCCAGCTACTCAGGAGGCTGAGGTGGGAGCATCACTTGAGCCCAGGAGGTTGAGGCTGCAGTGAGTCATGACCATGCCACTGCATTGTAGCCTGGGCAAGAGAGCAAGACCCTGTCTCAAAAAAAAAAAAAAAAAAAAAAAAGGATAAAGGAGAAATAAAAGCCATTCTCTCATGTAGGTAGGGTTGGTTTGTTTTGTCTCTTGGGGTATCTTAGAATAACAGTCTGTATACTTTAAACCAGTATTTCTCAACTAAGGGTGATTTTGCCTCCCAGGGTACATTTGGCAATTTCTGAGGTCATTTTCAGTTATCAAAACTACTGGCATCTTGTGGATAGAGGACAGGGATGCCATTAAACACCCTGTAATGCACAAGACAGCCCCCCACAAAAAATAATTATTCAACCCAAAATGCTGTTGAGAGAAACCTGGCATTAAACTTTGAGAACACCCATCTTCTCCCCTCATTTCTCCATCAATCTCGCCCAGAAGTTAAGAGACCTGACTCAAAAATGAAGGTAGTGCATCCTTGGGAGTCAGGCAGTTATGAAACATGCGCTGTATTTCCACACAAATTATTTCATCGCTGTAGGTCACGGTGCCCTTGTCTGAATGGTGGGGTTGGTGGCGATCCACTGGAATGGTTGTGAGAAGGACTTAACTAAAAGGGCTACCCACAGCCAACCTGTAGCTCCCAGAGGAAAGCTGTGTGGTGGCTCTTTATCTCTTGAATAGTGTCTTGATTTGGAATCTCTTGCTATCCCCTTACCCCCTTATTCTACTGCTGTGAAGGAGAGAAACATCTTTTGTCTTCTTTGTTATGTAGGAAGCAGAATTTCCCAGGGCACCTTTCTATCCCCTTCCTTAAGTCTTCACCATTGCTGTGATCACCACCTTCTAACTCCTGATTTTTTTCTTCCTTTTTCCAGAAGTGCATGTGGAACCTCATAAGAAGCAGCTACATGTGACCTTGGCTTACCACTTCCAGGCCAGCCACCTACCCACCCTAGAGAAACTGGCCCAGAACATTGACGTCAAGCTAGGGTGTGACTGGGTGGCTACCATATTTTCTCGGGATATCCGATTTGCTAATCATGAGGTAATGTCTCACTGTGGTTCCAGATGCTACCAGGTGCAGGGATGCGGTCAGAATCAGCAGCTTGCTGCTGCAGGGAGATGGGTACCTACAGGGGGAAAATGGAGCAGGCACCTAACAAGGCAGTCTGCTGGCCCAGGATTGTGTCCAGTCTCTGCCCGCCTCACTGGGCGGCTTCTGGAATGCCTCCTTCCTCTCTGGGTCACAAGTGGTTCATCTGGGTAACATCCCCATAGTCCTGACTGCCCTGCCAATCTTACTGCAGCAAAGAGGAAACGAAATGGGGCTGGACGAGGTGGCTCACGCCTGTAATCCCAACACTTTGGGAGGCCAAGGTGGATGGATCACGAGGTCAGGAGCTCAAGTCCAGACTGGCCAATGTGGTGAAACCCTGTCTCTACTAAAAAAATACAGAAATTAGCTGGGCATGGTGGCTTGTGCCTGTAATCCCAGCTACTTGGGAGGCTGAGGTAGGAGAATTGCTTGAACCGGGACCCGGGAGGCAGAGGTTACAGTGAATCTTGGTTGTGCCACTGCACTCCAGCCTGGGCTACAGAGCGAGACTCCATCTCAAAAAAAAAAAAAAAAAAAAGATGAAATGGGAGAGAATAAATAAATAATATATTGGAAAATTTTGAATGGTATATAAATTTATGTTGTTAATGAAAGATACCATTCTGACCTTAAGTGAGTTGAAGAACATTAAAAAAAAAAAAAAAGCTTGCAAAGACATCATCAACAGATATTTGCTGTGTATCTGTATCATGCAAAGTACCTTGGAGCATACTGGAATTTTAAAATGTGGTCTTGTCCTCAAAGAGCTTTGAGGACAGACACATATGAAAAGAAAACTCAGGCCACCTACTGTGGGAGTTTGTGCACATCCCAGTGGGAGGCCTGAGTGGGACAACCGAATCCCATCACAAGGAGAAAGACTGGTACCCCAGCATCCTTCCTTTGAGGGAATCAACATTGCCTTCCAGACAAGTATGTGACATCTTGGAAGCATAATACTGTCTTTTTTTTCTTTTTCTTTTTCTTTTTTTTTTAAAGACAGAGTTTCACTCTTCTTGTCCAGGCAGGAGCGCAGTGGCACAGTCTTGGCTCACTGCAACCTCTGCCTCCTGGGTTCAAGCGATTCTTCCGCCTCAGCCTCCCAAGTAGCCAGAATGACAGGCGCCCACCAGTAGAGAGAATTTTAAGTTTTAAGAGTTTTAAGCACAGGGAAGGAAGAGCTCGAGCTCCTAAAACAAGACTTGTTTGGGCTGTGGGTTCCTCGAGTGTTAAGATTCAGTGTGCTACAATGGATTTGAGATCCCTAGCTCCTAGCACAGAATGCTCAGCCTGTGCTGAATTTGAGATATGCCCAGGTATGCCATCCACCACTGATCTGCTTTATTTTTATTTTCTTTCTTTTTTTTCTTGAGGTGGACTTTCCCTCTTTCACCCAGGCTAGAGTGCAGTGACATAATCTCAGCTTACCACAACCTCTGCCTCCTGGGTTCAAGAGATTCTCCTGCCTCAGCCTCTTGAGTAGCTGGGATTACAGGTTCCCACCACCATGCCTGGCTACTTTTTGTGTTTTTAGTAGACACTGGGTTTCACCATGTTGACCAGGCTGATCTTGAACTCCCGACCTCAAGTGATCTGCTCGTCTCAGCCTCCCAAAGTGCTGCGATTACAGACGTGAGTCACCACGCCCAGCCAATGTTGTCTTTTTCTGTCCTGAAAGAGAAGCTGAGACACAAAGACATTAACTGGTTGGCCCAAAAGCTAAGTAGTAACTTAGGGCCAGAGATGAAGCCAGAGTCCATGTATTTTGACCAATAAAGAAAGGCAACCTGTCAGAAAAAAAGAAAAAAAAAAAAAAAAAAAAAAAAAAAAACTACATCATAGCCAGGCATGGTGGCTGCCACTTATAATCCCAGCACTTTGGGAGGCCGAAGCAGGAGTATTGCTTGAGACCCAGAGTTCCATACCAGCCTAGGCAGCACAGCAAGACTGTATCCCTACACACCCACAAAAGACCTCCTCATTTGTTAAAAATGTGCCTTCCAACCTTCCAACTTTACATTTATTAAGCAATTCTTCTATTCGTTACCCAATTTATCAGCAGCCAAAGAACTGATATTTTTGTTAGTTTATATAGCCTTTTAACATCTCTTCTAGACTTACTTTACTTACTTTACTTACTTACTTTAAAAAAAAATGATCTGATGGTTTTCTAAGTTAAGAACAAAAGAAAAAATTAAAAAATTAAAAACAGTTAGAACCCCAGGGCTGAGGCCAGGCAAGCTTACTGTTTCAGAAGTGGTAGAGGAGAGCCAACCCATGAGTCAGAGGTTCAGGGCTAGGCATGGTGCCCTGTGAGTGTCAGGGGCATGCAGCCTTGTCTGAGTCTGCTGATGGGAACATGACGTCCTCCTTTTGAATCATTTGATACAGGTTTCTGTAAGATGCCTTGAGCAGATTGGGCCTGATCTCACTTAAGAATTCTGACACATCCTAGAGTCACTTAGAGCGGGCCCTGAAGATAACAAGGGAGGTGTGGCTGGCTGGACTCCTTCTGAGGGCAGAATAAAATAAAATAAAATTAAAAAGTAAATGGCTGCAAATGCAGATGGCTCTGAGAAGTCACCTTTCTAAGAGAAGGAAGGTGGCAGTGGAATTTTACAAGGAATATCCTCTAATCAACACTGCCCTCCAGTTAACTCAAAGGGTAATTGCTTTTCTGCCTGACCCACATTTGGCTCAATTGGCATGGAAGGAAAAAGGCAGCAGGCGCCCACGTGAATTATTTTCTAAAAATAACTTGGCCTCTTTTTATCTCTTATTTGTAAAAGCTCATTTATTACTGTTCGTTCTGATAAAGCTCTCCTCGGCCCCTTTGGACTAGACCTCTCCCCTGAGGTCTTTCGATTCTACCTGAGCTGAAAGACCTCAGGGGAGTCCGCACATGTAACCCTCTTCTTGCCTGCCTTCAACCTGTCCCCAGGAGGCAGTTTTGATTGATTTTCCAGTGAGGGAACAGATGTCCAGAGAAGGAGAGTGGTTTGGGCAAGGACACTCCGACAAGGCACCGTGATACTTAGGAAAACTCCAAGGCTTCATCCCTCTGCTGTGTAGACTCTCACTTGATTTAGACATGCAAATGCTCATTTGTGTTTCACATAGGCTCTTCCCACGTGAGTGATTACATTGGGCCATGCCAGTTTCATATACCAACCAATAGAAATCCAGAGGAAGGACAGGGTGATAACAAAAAGCATCACTTTTGGAGTCTAGCACACTTGGCTTGGAATCCTGGCTCCATCATTATGGAAGGGTTAAATTCACTTTGACTACTTGTATAAATCTCCAGTCCTTAGTTTTCTCATCTGTAAAATGGTGACAGTGTTTTGCTAGGTGGTTATGAAGATTAAATAAGAAGCTATATGGAAAGGCTCTAAAGTAATACCCAGCACAAGGTGGGTGCAACAGCAACAAAACATTATTGTGCATGAGAATAAAAAGGGCTCCAAAGACGGTTCAGCTCCTGTAATCACACAGGGCTTTGGCTGCCTTTCATTCAGCAAACTGAATTCCGTCTCAGAGTAGAAAGGGAGGAAAGACATATCTGAGGTGAACTCAAGAGTTCTTACAAGTACAGGCCAGGCGCAGTGACTCATGCCTGTCCCAGAACTTTGGGAGGCCAAGGCGGGTGGATCACCTGAGGTCAGGAGTTTGAAACCAGCCTAGCCAACACAGTGAAATCTCATCTCTGCTAAAAAGACAAAAGTTAGCCAGGCGTGGTGGTACACGCCTGTAGTCTCGGCTACTCAGGAGGCTGAGGCAGGAGAATCACTTGAATCTGGGATGTGGAGGTTGCGGTAAGTCAGGATCATGCCACTGCACGCCAGCCTGGGCCACAGAGCAAGACTCTGTCCCAAAAAAAGAAAAAAAGAAGAGTTCTAACAAGTAGATGCCAAACATAAAATAAAAGAATAAGTAGAATGTAGTATAAATTAGGCATATGTTCCCATGTCTCTCAAACTTAGGCTAAGGTTTTGTATCTGCTTTTGGTGAGTGAGAAAAGGCATTGGGGACATGGGTCTCGGTTACAATTTTAGATTTCCCACGATGCCTTAATTCTTTTATTGTTCATTCAGTAAATCAAAGCTATTTATTGTCCAACTTCCCTATGCCTAGGACATATTGTCTCTAACCTTTGTCGTGCCTCAGTTTCCCTGGGGATAACCTAGAGATAGAATGAATACTCACCTCCCCTACGTGGTAGGACAAAGGAGGACTTACCTGCAATCGCATTGAGTTTCTCAAGGGAAAGGCACTACTGGGCCAAAGGCATTATTAGCCAAGACCACGCTGTGCTTGAACATTTAAGGAGCACGAGTTTAGGCTTGTTTCCCTATGACTCGGCGCCTTTCTCCACCTTGTCCCAGAAAAAAAGAATGGTCTTTTTCATGGGAAGTCACACATTTAGCTTTGCAGTTTATGAGATTTCACGTGAATTTTTTTTTTTCCTTTTAAGCTGATTTAACAATCCCACAGAAAACCTTCCTGGCTTGTTTGGAGAGGTGGCTTGAGTGTGTGAGGCAGAGGGACAGGAGGGTAAGGAGGCAATCAGAAAGCAGGAAGATCTAGAACTGAAAGATGCTGGAGTCAGAATTAGGGAAACAAACAGCCGCCCTACATAAAAGGAAAATCGGAGATGCAGCGGTACAAATGAGTTCTGTGCACAATCACTCTCATCCTCTGAAAAGAATCACCCCTTCACTGGCCCCTTTCTTTAGAGATTTCCAGGAGGAAGTTCTCTCTTTGTAACATTCTGGTGTGTCACTTTGACATCAGCGAGCCTATTAGCTCGCAGGCCTACCCAGCACCAGGTCCAGGGACCAGGGTTGGCTGAAGGAAGGGCATGACCCGGGAGATCAGGTGCCCTGGTTCAATGGAAGTAATTATGCCCCTTCGGTGTACAAGGCTCTGTCCTAGGTGTTTTCTTAGATTGTCTCATTCACCTTTTATGGTCTAAAGTGTTATTTTACAGATGAGAAAACTGAAGCTAAAGTTAGAAATATGCAGGTGGAGACCAGAATACTTGGCCTCCAACTAATGGCTTTGAGACTCTAGAAAGCAGTGAAAGCTGTTAAAGCTTTCTCTGTCTCTGTGTCCTTTGTGAAACAAATAAGATAGGAAATATTTTCCTTACTATTGAAGTCTCCTGCTATTAGTAACAAAAAATAGTAAAATAAATGTTTTTTACAGTATCTTCATGCCTGTACCTGTGAGGTTTATACCTACCAGGAAAGGAGGGCAAAAAGAAATAAAGAATAAATAGCCAACGGGCATGGCCTGTGGTTAGCCTGGGGGCTTTTGTTCTCCATCTGATGAAAGCTGGCTACATGCTGATGCAGACACTGATGTCTAGACATTTTTCTTTCAGGGTCTTTGTTAAAACTGTAGGTTTAAAGAAAGCTCCTTGAAGGTAGAGACCATGTCTGGTTTAAAGAGCTAAAGTGGCTGGGCAAGGTGACTCACACCTGCAATCCCAGCACTTTGGGAAGCTGAGACGGGTAGATCACCTGAGGTCAGGAGTTTGAGACCAGCCTGGCTAACATGGTAAAACCCCATCGCTATTAAAATACAAAAATTAGTCGGGCGTGGTGGTGGTCTCCTGTAATCCTAGCTACTCAAGAGGCTGAGGCAGGAGAATTCACTTGAACCCAGGAGGAGAGGTTGCAGTAAGCCGAGCCAAGATCACGCCATTGCACTCTAGACTGGGCAACAAGAGTGAAACTCCATCTCAAAATATAATAATAACAAGTAAATAAATCAAGAGCTAAGTTACATAGAAAGGAGAATACTTCATACCCCAAGCTTTCCTGAAGGAGAGACATTCCACCTGGCCCATCTGTAACCCCTGTATGGAAGACTGGCTTTCCATGAGCTGGGTTTCAAGTGTCTATCATGGTGAATTGCAGATGAAGCAAGGGAAACTGGGTCTAAGTCCATTTATATAGCACTTGACCAGAGAGTCTGCAGGATTTCAGCTCAGTTTCCTAAAATGATACTTGAATCCTGATCGGAAATCTAGACATGCCTGAAGAAAAGTGTGGAACCATTTCTAGCACCAGGCATACACCCACAATACCCTGAAGAGAGAAGTGCTCTCTGATAGGAATTTACACCTACTCAGGGCCTGCAGACCCCAGGGACTCCTGAGCACATCGCCCTCTGGAAGTGTGCGGTATTAATGCATAACATACAGTCCTGGCCTTGAGGCACTCAGGAGAATGGTGACGTGTGGGGCTCACTCACCCTCTCTTCCTTTTTCAGACATTACAGGTGATCTACCCCTACACCCCACAAAATGACGACGAGCTGGAGCTGGTCCCCGGGGACTTCATCTTCATGTCTCCAATGGAGCAGACCAGCACCAGTGAGGGTTGGATCTATGGTACGTCCTTAACCACCGGCTGCTCCGGACTCCTGCCTGAGAATTACATTACCAAGGCTGATGAATGCAGCACCTGGATATTTCATGGGTAAGCAGACACAAAGACCTTTATGCCCTTTGAAAAACGTTGCTGAGGCACACTTGATCCTGGATACACAGGGCAGCAGCAAATGGGGTCCATGGGAAGAAGACCCTGTGGGTTCCAGACTTCTAGAAAAGGAGCTGACTTGAGGCATGGGAAAAATGTGAAATGGATTGTTCTGCTTCCCCCCATCTGCCCCATTTGCTGTGTTGTCTGCTTGAGTCCTTAATCAGAGACTAAACTGCGGCTGCCTGGGGTCCGTCTCTTCTGGCTGAAGGGTGGCATCATCCCAGTGCTACGTCTTCACTGCTTTATGGTTTCTGGCCACCTTGTCCTGAGTCATGACCCAGGGTGGCCTGACTCCCCAAAGCAGCTGGACAGATTACTACTCTGCCAGCCAGACCAATAGAGAAAGGGCTTTCAAGAAGCTGGAGCCCTGTCTGTACCCCTCATTTGCTAAGTGACCCTGAGCAAGTCCTCAGACACAGTCTGTGCATGCCTAGACGACAAAGACCGTGTCTAAGGTAACAGGCAACTGCCAGACTGAAAAAGGGTACCTTTCCCCTCCCCTCTGCCAGTCTTCCTTTGGGTAATAACTTTCCACCCATCCCTCATTACTAGTTTGTCCCCATTCCCTACTGGTCCCGTGTTCAGTGGCCAACTTTGTCCCAGTAGAGAAAATAGAAACAAAAAGCATCTTTCTTTCTTAGTCGGAGCAGCTCAAAGCCAGCGCGTCCCTGGTACACTCGGGCATGTAGCCAGGGCCTGCATGCTGGTTTGTTTTCCTCCCTCTTGTTTCTGCCATGTGGCAACATGGCTGAGAGGCAGAAGCCCTGAGCACCAGCTGCTTGGTTGCTTACATTGTTATTATCGCCATAAAGGAGAAGCAGAGAGAGATGATTTCATCAAGTCTCTGTCTGGAAAGAGAAAATAAAGGTCCCTTACCCTAGTGAGCCACGAACAGACAAACCACAAATCCAAAGATGGGAAAGAATATTTTCTTCCTTAATAACCCCACCCAGCAATCCCTTCCTCTCTCTTTCACCCCCGCCTCCACCTCAGTCCAGCCCATGAACCTCCAGCATTGGATGACACAAAATTAGAGGTCAAATCTGTCTCATGTTTCCCGAACATTTGCTTTTCAGAAATGCTTCCGAAGATCAAAATATACAGGTTGGGTTTCCAAAGTCTCTGTTTTAATCCCTGTAACAAGTAAAGCAAAATATGCATTAATAAACTGAGCACTAAAAGATTATTTGCCTGACAAAGCACAGTTTTCAGATCTCTCTATTATTTTTTGTTTTATGGTACTTGGAGTTGCTGTTTTATCAGATCTCTTTCTTAAAAGTAGATGTATGGCCGAGTGTGGTGGCTCACGCCTATAATCCCAACACTTTGGAAGGCCAAGGTGGGTGGATCACTTGAGGTCAGGAGTTCGAGATCTGCCTGACCAACATGGAGAAACTCCATCTCTACTAAAAGTAAAAAAAAAAAAATTAGCTCAGTGTGGTGGCACATGCCTGTAGTCCCAGCTAATTGGGAGGCTGAGGCAGGAGAATCACTTAAACCTGGAGGCAGAGGTTGCAGTGAGTGGAGATGGTGCCAGCCTGGGCAACAGAGTGAGACTCCATCTCAAAAAAAAAAAAAAAAAAAAAAGTGGATGTATGTGAATATGTGAGAAGCTGTGCTCATCTCTTAGAGTTCACCCCATCTAAACCCACTCTGCCCTAAATTACAGTTCAGGCCATCGTGAACCTGAGTGACATCGGTCAGTGGGTCCCAGGGAGGTCTTTGTGTCCTCTTTTATTTGAGAGATTACTAATGATCTCATGTCCCCGAGAACCATGTCTGAAATTGAACTAACAGCTTCCACAGCCAACCCTGATCAGAGTAGGGAATAAGTTAGGCATTAGTCAATTGTGATTAAGAATTTGAGATAGGGCCCGGCGCGGTGGCTCAAGCCTGTAATCCCAGCACTTTGGGAGGCCGAGGCGGGTGGATCACGAGGTCAAGAGATCGAGACCATCCTGGTCAACATGGTGAAACCCCGTCTCTACTAAAAGTACAAAAAATTAGCTGGGCATGGTGGCACGTGCCTGTAGTCCCAGCTACTCAGGAGGCTGAGGCAGGAGAATTGCCTGAACCAGGAGGCGGAGGTTGCAGTGAGCCGAGACCGTGACATTGCACTCCAGCCTGGGTAACAAGAGCAAAACTCTGTCTCAAAAAAAAAAAAAAAGAATTTGAGATTGGATTCCAATAGTCTTGGATTTAAGTGATAACTCTCTCAATTTAACCAGCTGTGTGGCCTTGGCCAATTTGCATTACCTCTCTGAGCCTCTGTTTGCTCATCTAGAAAATGGAACTAAATAATTGCACTGACCTATGAGGTCACTGCTATATAATAGCAGTGACTATAAAATCGCCATTTGTGGCCGGGCATGGTGGCTCACACCTGTAAACCCAGCACGTTGGGAAGCCGAGGTGGGTGGATCAGGAGGTCAGGAGTTCAAGACCATCCTGGCCAACAAGGTGAAACCCCATCTTTACTAAAAATACAAAAATTACCTGGGCATGGTGGCATGTGTGCACCTGTAATCCCAGCTACTGGGGAAGCTGAGGCAGGAGAATCGCTTGAACGTAGGAGGCAGAGGTTGCAGTGAGCGGAGATGATGTCACAGCACTCTAGCCTGGTGACAGAGTGAAACTCCATCTCAAAAAAAAAAAAAAATCGCATTTGCATAATGATGATGATTTTCTTTTTTCTGTCTTGTGTTTGCCAGTCCTCACTTAGTGTTCATCAAAGGAAATGTGTCTTCCATAAAAGCAATCCTGTAGATAAACTGCGCTTTCCTACTTAACCCCCAAGGTCAAATGACTCAAGGAGGCGGAGCCCCGCTTCTTTGTAAAACTGACCTTCTCTCACTCCTAACCCAAGATAGGCTTCAGGACGTAGAGCCCCAGGGGGATGTCGAGCACGACCTGGCTGGCATGGTGGGACATTGCTCAGGGGTCACTGATTTTAACAACGCTCCCTGCCCCATGCTTCTCAGTTTTCTGAGTCCCTACTAAGGGAATGTGTTCTCGCCACACTAACTGAAGTGCCTTACTTGGTTCTGAGTTATCCTCAGGTGTTTTTCAGTTGATGAAGCTCTTCTGTGTTCTCTGAAGCTGAGTGAGCTGCCTGGCCGCTTGGGCTTAGCACAGGCCTGGCGTCCTGGCGTGTGGCAGGGAGAAGCCAGCTCTCCCGATGCTTGAGAGGTTCCGGATGTCAGGCCCGGCTTCCTCCCTCCACTGTTCTGAGCAAGAAGTATCTGACTGCTGTCTTACTGGAACTGACAGCTCCACGCTGTCTCAGAGTGAGTCAGGTCCTTTTATAATGACAGTTAAGAAGGGAAAGAGGCTGGCATTCGTCTTGCCATGGGAGCCGAAGGAGGGAGAGAAGGGATCCTATCAGTATCTTCACAGCTGCAATAAAGCAAAGAAGCAGACTTGTACAAGCATGATTCTAGGTAGCTAGGCATTTCGAACCCTGAAGCTTTGATGAGTCAGAAAATAAAACCGGATTTTTTTTGTTTTTTGTTTTTTGTTTTTCTGAGACAGAGTCTCAATCTGTTGCCCAGGCTGCAGTGCAGTGGTGTGATGTCAGCTCACTGTAACCTCTGTCTCCTGATTCAAGTGATTCTCCTGCCTCAGCCTCCCGAGTAGCTGGGACTACAGGCATGTGCCACCACACCCAGCTAATTTTTGTATTTTTGGTAGAGATGGGGTTTCACCGTGTTGGCCAGGCTGGTCTCGAACTCCTGACCCCAGGTGATCCACTCGCCTCAGCCTCCCAAAATGTTGGAATTACAGGCCTGAGCCACTGCGCTTGGCCAAGCTGGATTTTCTTTAACTGTGTGAAGTTTGGGAGGGTCTCAGTTTAAAATAACATAGAATAGCTGGTCTATTATTCCGTGTGAACAGCATAGGATTTCCTTGGGCCACAGTTACTTAAATTTTACTGTTGGCCGGGCGCGGTGGCTCACGCCTGTAATCCCAGCACTTTGGGAGGCAGAGACGGGTGGATCACAAGGTCAGGAGTTCGAGACCAGCCTGGCCAAAACGTTGAAACCCCGTCTCTACTAAAAATACAAAAATTAGCTGGGTGCAGTGGCACGCGCCTGTAATCCCAGCTACTCAGGAGGCTGAGGCAGGAGAATCGCTTGAACCTGGGAGGTGGAGGTTGCAGTGAGCCAAGATCGTGCCATTGCACTCCAGCCTGGGTGACAGAGTGAGACTCTGTCTCAAAAAAAATAAAATAAAATAAAATAAAATAAATAATAAAAAAATTTTTACCGTAACAGGTTTCACTTGGCTACACATCAGATGGACTGATGCTGCTTTGTTGAACTGTAGGTTCCTGGGTCCCCCCACCACCCGACCTACTAAATCACGATCTGTGAGGAGCAGGACCTCGGCATGAGTATTTTTTTTTTTTAATTCCCCTGCTGATTCTGATACGCACAAGGTCTCAAAGTCAGTTTTTCAGGGCTTGAGACTTCTGAGACCTTCGTTTATAAGTAGAATAAGTCTATCACTTCTAGTGAAAAGGAGCCACTTCTGAAAGTGAAGGGGGTGCTAAAATAGTCAGAATCGCCTAACTTTTTGGAACAAAAACTTACTAACAACCAGTTAGCTGTATTGTATTGGTGAATATAAAAAGTTATTTTCAAAAATACAGTTCTGGGCCAGGTGCGGTAGCTTATGCCTGTAATCACAGGACTTTGAGAGGCAGAGCTGGGCAGATCACCTGAGGTCAGAAGTTCGAGACTAGCCTGGCCAACATGGTGAAACTCCATCTCTACTAAAAATACAAAAATTAGCCGGGCGTCGTGACGTGCGCCTGTAATCCCAGCTACTCGAGAGGCTGAGGCAGGAAAATCGCTTAAACCTGGGGGGCGGCAGTTTCAATGAACGGAGATCACATCATTGCACTTTAGCCTGGCTGCCAAGAGTAAGACTCCATCTCTAAAGTAAAATAAAATAAAATTCTGATAATACGATGTTAAAAGAGAATAATCCAGAACAGGTGGGGGCCTAGATAGGTTGCTGGGTCAACAGATACAAGCCAGGAGTAGATGGAGCAAACTGGGATGGACAGCTACCCAAATTGTAAAGAAGCAAGAAATCTACAAAATCCTGGGCCGGGTGCGGTGGCTCAAGCCTGTAATCCCAGCACTTTGGGAGGCCGAGGTGGGTGGATCACGAGGTCAAGAGATCAAGACCATCCTGGTCAACATGGTGAAACCCCGTCTCTACTAAAAATACAAAAAATTAGCTGGGCATGGTGGTGCGTGCCTGTAATCCCAGCTACTCAGGAGGCTGAGGCAGGAGAATTGCCTGAACCCAGGAGGCGGAGGTTGCAGTGAGCCGAGACCGTGACATTGCACTCCAGCCTGGGTAACAAGAGCCAAAACTCCGTCTCAAAAAAAAAGAAAAAAAAAAGAAATTACAAAATTTAAATGTGCCCCCTGGACTCAGCTCAGTGATTCCAAAGATGTTCATTGGATTCACCTAACAACCATATTTAAATTGCAACGTTTGTTAGATAAAGCTTTGTGAAAGTCTTACTATTCACAGTCATTCAAGCTTGGCAGGTTTTGACAGTCTTCCTTTCAGCAAGACCTCTTTGGGGTTTCTGTAGTTAGAGTGTTACACTCACAAATGAGAGTTCTTGGCTCACAGCACTAAACATCTGGTGAGAATAGTCTTCTCTGAAATAATTCTGTTTGTAGTCATCCTGTTGGAGGTGTTGTTGTGGTGGAGATAGATAGGGTTTGGAGGCTGAAGAGCCCAGAATAGGGGGCTGCGGCCACAAAGTTTCCTTGACTGTTAGGAGCCACTGGCTAAGTGGTGGAGATGGTTGAAAATACCCGCCTATCATTCTTCACTTCAGATGGAAATTACCGCCGGAAATATTAAGGGCAACAGGAATTGTAGATTTCTTTTAAACCGAAAAAATAACTGCAAACAAATAATTGATACATCATTATTCTTGAAATTGTCTTTGGCACAAACCATGTGTGGCACAAAATCACTGCGACCCATCCCTGCCCAGAAGAATGAATATATCTGCCCTCAGTGCAGAAACCCATCTACCTGTAATTAATTAATTAATTACTTTTAATTTTTATTTCATTTGAGACAGGGTTTCACTCTGTCACCCAGGCTGGAGTGCAGTGGTGCAATCTTGGCTCACTGCAACCTCCACCTCCCAAGTTCAAGCGATTCTCATACCTCAGCCTCCTGAGTAGCTGGGACTACAGGCACGTACCACCACACCCATTTAATTTTTTGTATTTTCAGTAGAGATGGGGTTTCACCATGTTGGCCAGGCTGGTCTCAAACTCCTGACCTTAAGTGATCTGCCTGCCTCAGCCTCCCAAAGTGCTGGGATTACAGATGTGAGTTACCACACCCAGTTTACCTCTAATTTATTAACTGCAAGACTTCAGTATAAAACAAGATGTTCCTCCCTTAGGAATGGGGCCACTCTTGCTCAACTTCCCCCATTGTACTGCCCACAGAGGGCTTTGAGTTAATTCCCACATTCCTGTTGAGCCCAAGAGGAAATGCTGATGACTCTTGACCAGAGCAGTTAACACCTTCCTTATCTTCCTCTGCAGTTCTTACTCAATCTTAAACACAACGTCTTCCAACTCTCTCACATTTGGGGATGGAGTATTGGAGAGGCGGCCGTATGAGGACCAGGGGCTTGGAGAGACGACTCCTCTTACTATCATTTGCCAGCCCATGCAGGTAAGCCCGATTGTTAGGGTCACACCACCAACTCTAACTAGGATTCACTGAGAACCTATTTATTAAGTATGAGGCATTGCCCTTGCTGTCCCTAAAGGTTCCGTGATCTCCTGGGAAGAAAGTACACCAAATTAGAAAAGATATACAAAAATTCAAGGCTAGGAAGAATCAGATGAGCAGTACTGACAGTGACTTCCAGCATTTAAACCTAGGCTCATAAGAAAGGTCGTTCCACAGAGAGAGGAGGAGATTTTATCTCCTAAGTAGAAATAATGCCCATAGTTGTATCTGTTTTGTAGGTTGTTACAAAGATGAAAGAAAATAATAATCTTGCTTATGCACAAAAGAAAAGAGAAAAAAAGGTAAAAAAATAAAAAAGTTAAAAAAACGAAAGAAAATATTAAAATAGGGCTCTTAGCACAATAATTGGCATATAATGAGTGCTCAGTATGTGTTACCTTTTTCAAGAAAGGTTGGAGATGGAAGGAATTGGGGAGTAGTTGCCGGAATAGTACAAGTAGAGACAAGTTGAAAGTTCAGGCATGTTGAAGATCAAGGGAGTAGACCATTGTGGCTGGAGCCCAGGATTTAAATTAAGGAACAATAGGAAAAGAAGTGGGAGGGATCATGCCATCATTCCACATATTAACGTTGTCAGGGCAACTAGGAGCAAGTGTGAAGTGCTGGCCAGCACTAAGGAAACTGGAAAAGCTGATTATATCAGAAAGAAGGAATGTAAAAACATCTGTAAGGTTCCATCCAGCAGTTATAGAAGCCAAAGTCATTTGGACATGCCCTTGACTAGATTTGCCTATGTCATCACCCAGAGGTAGCAGCTGTCTCATTTTGGGGGTCACCAATGTGCATACAGTCAGACAGAAGAGCCTACACAGTGATTAGAATAGGAAAACAGGGCCTCACTGCTGGAGTGGACCGTGAGGACCACGTGGTCTGGCCACACACTTCAGAGAAGGGGTGGACACATTTGTGATCACAGACGTACTCACTCCCTGAAGAAGCTGATGAGTCACCCCTTTTGGGTAGGAAGGTGTCCCACTAGATGGCTGTCTCTACATGAATAGTTAGTTTTAGCTCTGAGCTGTAACTTAAAGTGGACGTCATGTTTTAGTAATGGCCAAATGCTATTTCTAAAAGAGCAGCAGTAGCAACAATAATGCCTTTTTCATAACCCTTCTTATTTTATAAAGCACATGCAGTTTATCTTATTTGAGCCTCAAAATAACTTATGAGGTCTGTAGGATGAGTCTTACTGTCCTTACTGTACGGATATGCCACCCTCAATCCAAGGCAGTTAAGAGGTTTGTCCAAGTCATATCTTAGCAGAACTTTGGTAGTAGAGCTCAGTTCACCTGGCACCTGACTCCAAGACATGTCCATTTTGCCATGTGTGTCTTCACTCATGGCCTTCTTTCTCTGCAGCCTCTAAGGGTCAACAGCCAGCCCGGGCCCCAAAAGCGATGCCTCTTTGTGTGTCGGCATGGTGAGAGGATGGACGTTGTGTTTGGGAAGTACTGGCTGTCCCAGTGTTTTGATGCCAAAGGTGAGTTGTTGGTGGGTCTGCTCAGCACTGGCATACCCATAGTGGCCTCTAGGGGGCACAGTCAAGCTACAGTTATCCAGATGGGAGTCATTTATAGTTCTGTATGCTATAGAAAATGTCTGTCATCCATAAGTCCCTCCTGATTGTCTTGAGCTTTAGGGAAGTAGTGTTCCTGTCCCCATTCTATAAACTTGGATACCAGGGACCAAGATGACAGATGTCTGGCCCAAGGTCATATGGCAAAGTCGGCAGCAGACACGTACCCTGATCCTATGGCCAGAGTTCCTGCCATAAAATCTCGTTGGCTCCCTGGGTTCCATTTTCATTTGAATGGCATTTTAAGATACGGAGGCTTGCAGAACCAGGGAATTTCACCTGCCTTACAGTGCCTCGTTATTACGTCCACTGAGAAACAATCTCATGTCCCTTTTGTCAGTAGAACGGAAGAGCGGATTCCAAGTCATTTTATGAAACCAAGTGTCAGCCTTGATATTTTCCATCAGCTCCAGAGAGCTCATTATGATCTCTTTAGCCAAGAAGGAATGGGGTTGGAGAGTGTCAGGATCAGCAAGGGAGTCCCAAGTAAACAAGACATTTATGTATCTGCTGTCTAACCTTTTCATTTTTCAGGCCGCTACATACGCACCAACCTGAACATGCCTCATAGTTTACCTCAGCGGAGTGGTGGTTTCCGAGATTACGAGAAAGATGCTCCCATCACTGTATTTGGATGCATGCAAGCGAGACTAGTGGGTAAGTATCCTGGGTGACTGCACTCCAGGCATTTCTTGCCTTCTCCTTTAAAACACTGGTACCATGGATATGCAGGATGCTTCCTGGGGGTTTCTATAACTTTCCTGCAAGCAATGTATTTCCTCAATTCAAAAGGAACCTATTATACAGCCATTAAGTCTAGGATGCTGTGCTTGGCCCTGGGTTGGTTGACCAAAGTGAACGAGGTGTGGTCCTTATTGAGGAGCTCGTGATCAAGTCATGGACAAGGTCAGGCTTGGGTTACTTTGCTCACTGTTGGATGTAGCAGACAAGTCTGCCTCTAGTTCAGGACAGCAGCATTTGCCCACATGGCTGTGGGAAGAGGACAAGAGTGAGGAAGAGGTGTTGGGTACCAGCACCAGCCCCGTACGTGGGTGCCCTTAGGCCTGGCGGTGACAAGGGATTGAGAAAAGGAAATAAAGACAGACACAAGAGTACAATTTACAGCGTGGGTCCAGGGGACCAGCGCAAGCGTGGGAATTACGCTGGCCACAAGCTCTGGGCTCCAAACACTTTTTTTTTTTTTAATAGAGACAGGGTTTCACCATGTTGGCCAAGCTGGTCTCAAACTCATGACCTCAGGTGATCCACCTGCCTCGGCCTCCCAAAGTGCTGGGATTGTAGGTGTGAGCCACCGCACCCAGCCCAAACACTTTTATTATGAGCATAATCTCATTGATTTTATGGGCATGGAAGGGAAGGGTGAAGGGGTAGGTAAGATGGCGGGGAGAGCACTTGAGATCCTTCTAAGTCATGCTAAACTAGTGCTCTGAGCATTTAACAGCACTTGAGATCCTTCTAAGTCATGCTGAACTAGTACTCTATTGGAGTTACATTGGAGTTTATCACCAATTGTTATCAGGATGCTGCTGCATCAGAAGTACTAGTGGATGAGGAGCCACTGGATCTGACCACAACCAATGCATCAAGGGGGTTTTAGAGCAATTAAAGTCACTCCATATTCCGAAAACCTAGGCAGAGCCCAAGGCCTTCCGTGATCTCTGCCCTGCAAGGCTTTTCTCCTCCTTGCCAGCTCCCATCTGCAAAGACTCTCCAGGTCTCGTGAGCAGAGGTCGCCTCCCTTCTCAGAGGTCTTTTCACAAGCCCTCTTTACGAGACCGTCATGCAGTCTCCATGTTGAGAAGGCATTCGTGGGACCACAGCAGTATTCCCTGCTCTGCAGCCACCCCTCGGTGTTCCCCGGCGTTACTGCGCTCTTGGATGGTCTTTACCTTAGGCCTCCTTTTGCCGTTTGATTTATAATTAACTGTACCAATAATATAGTTTAGTTCGGTGTATAAACTTCAGTGTACTCTGAGCCAAGCAAGCTTATAATTATTTAGCTAGAATTAACACGGGTGTTCCCCTGGCCGTCTTGACCCAGAAAGAGAGACCCTGCAGTTGCTGAATTTATAGAGGCCAACTGATCCTTTGAAGATGCCCAGTTCTTTGCAAGCCCATTCCATGACTGTCACAGGGGGCTAGTACTTTCCTGTCCAGTCACTTAGCAGATATTTAGTGATCACTTACTTTGTGCGAGGTATTGGACTAGATGTTGGGAACCCAAGCGTGAGTCAGGGAAACAAACTTATGTGTGGATAAATATCATACAATATGATACACATAGAGCTATGCACAGACACAGAATATTATGGGAAGACAAAAAGACATCTAAGAGAAGAGGTAAGCTGGGAGCTGAACTGGAAGTTAGCTGGTCAAAGAAGGCGCAGGGTGAGGAAAGGGCATTCTCAGTGGAAAGGACCACACTGACAGTCTTAGACTTGAGAAACAGCCTCAGGAATGCAGGGGAATAAAGTGTCTTGTTTCTAGAGTATAAATTGTAAGGCAAAGCAGAGATGAGGCTGGCAAGATGGAAAAAGGCAAGTTCATGGAAGACCTTGCTACCATATTAAGGTGTTTGAATTTAATCCAGTAGATAAAATAACTGAATTCTAGGCCAGGTGTGGCAGTTCTCACCTATGACCTAGCACTTTGAGAGGCTGAGGCAGGAGGATTGCTTGAGACCTGGAGTTCAAGTGCGCTATGATCACACCCCTGCACTCCAGCCTGAGCAACAGAGCAAAACCCGATCTCTAAAAACTAAATGAATAATAATAGTTTTTTTAAAGAAGTGGATTTTATGAGGATAGCATTAAAGTATGAGGTGTTGGGATTTATCTCTGGTGTCTAAGAATATGACATGTTGAGATTTTGGTTAGCCCAGAATAAAATTAAAACAAGACCTCCTTTTCATAAAATAAATCCTCTGTCACAAACTTGAAGCCAGAGTGTTGTGCTGTTTCTAAATATTTCCTAGCTAAAGGCTTTACCACTTGTTAGCACCAGAGAGAAGACAAAGGAAAGACAAGAAGGGCTCTGTCGCTTGCTCTCATAGAAACACTGATGAGGGGTTTTGTTAGAAACAAACAAAGCCTGAAAATACGGGCTCTATGTGAGCCCCAGCTGGGAAAGAGGGCCTTACAGGGCTTACTGCTCGGCACCCTCTCACACTGAGAGTTGAAGTGAGACTGAGTAAATCCATCGGACGGATTCTTTTGTGGCTTTCTTTGCAGGTGAAGCCTTATTAGAGAGCAATACCATTATTGACCACGTCTATTGCTCCCCTTCCCTTCGCTGCGTTCAGACTGCACACAATATCCTGAAAGGTAAGACTTGCAGGTTGACAAAAGCAAGTAGTCCATCTCTCTGCCTCTAGGCAGTCCCACACATAAATTATCTTAGAGTCATGGGACATTGGCCAGTTGAAAGCTTTGAATCTGGAATGAAGGGACGATTCTTTCGGAGGGCAGTCTATGCACAAGTCACAAAAACATACTCAGGCAGCCTAAGTGAAATAAAAGAAGTATACTAATAACGTTTTTCTTGAGAATTTAAAGCACTCTTGGATAAATCTCAGTCTTGCAAAATGTTTAGGTTATAGAGTGTGATCCTTTCTTTACGCTTAATAGTCAAATAACTTTCCTGCTTTGATCTGTTGTTTGCCTCCTGTCTACAGTGCTCTTGGGGGTCTGAAATCTTTATCATCTTTTTTCTTTACTGAATGAAAAAGAGTTTAAAAGCAACATTGCTACCAAAATACTCAACTTTCACCCTAAAATCTGTGGAAGCGTGAGTTACAGGTATTTCCTTTCTCATTTCATGGGAAGAAAAACTAAAAGGAACAGGGTCAGGCTGTTTATTTCTATCAAATAAATGAATCGGCCAGAAATAAACAAGACAACAAAGAATTTGACACTACATCTGAGTCTTCTATCCTTTAACCTGAAGTAAACCTCTTCACTACCGGAAGACATTTGTGTATTAAATTTGCATAGAACAACTGGACTACATGCAATATAAAGACAACTAAGCAGGGACCATTTCTAGAAGGCCAGTTACACTATAGTAAAGCAGAAGACTTCTGCACTGCTACTAGTGAATGTTCAGCATAGATTTTCTGATAGAGAAAATGAATAATTTACATGATACTCAATTACGATGTAAGCTATTATAGAGTAGTGGATACTATCTGAAGTTTCTTGGTAAGACCATCATGGAATTTGCTTTAGAAAGAGGAATTATGAGAGTCATAGAATTGAATCTATTTTCTTTTTTTGAGACAGCATCTCGCTCTGTTGCCCAGGCTGGAGTGCAGTGGCACGATCTTGGCTTACTACAATTTCTGCCTCTGGCGTTCAAGTGATTCTCCTGCTTCAGCCTCCAGAGGCGCTGGAACCACAAGTGCCTGCCACCACACCTGGCTAATTTTTGTATTTTTGGTAGAGATGGGATTTCACCATGTTGGCCAGACTGGTCTCAACTCCTGATCTCAAGTGATCTGCCTGCCTCGACCTCCCAAAGTGCTGGGATTACAGGCGTGAGCCACAGCACCCAGCCTTGAATAAATTATAAGGATAATGACTTGTGGCTTTTTTCCTTAAGTCAGATATGACTTAAAGCCAGCATACATCCTGGCGGTATGGCAAGAGTATTAAACTCATGTGTTAGTAACGCACAAAAATTAAAAACTCTTGTCCAAATCCACATGCTTCCACTTCTGGTTAGCTATATATAACAGCCAGTAGGAAAGAGAATAGCTTATTTATCAATTTGGCCTGAGAATATAGAGACACTTCCTTCATCTTCACCGTATTTTACCCCTAAAGGTTTACAACAAGAAAATCACTTGAAGATCCGTGTAGAGCCCGGCTTATTTGAGTGGACAAAATGGGTTGCTGGGAACACATTACCTGCATGGATACCTCCATCAGAGTTAGCTGCAGCCAGCCTGAGTGTTGATACAACCTACAGGTAAGCCTTGGAAACTGCTGCTTACTGAGGCCAGTATGGAAGTGCTTTACGCACTAGCTCTAGGCCAGGTTCAGGAAGGAGACAGGGCTAGATGTCACCTACAGGCAGTTGTCCATAGTGGTAGAAATCAAGCTATGATTTTAGAAATCAAAACTGGAGAAAAGCCAGCATTTGTTTTCATATTTGGCATTCGTGTGGATTAGATTCTCCAGCCTAAGCCTGTGTTGGATTTTTCTGACTTTATTATACTATTTCAGTGTAATAAAACCATTTTGCATTCCAGCAAGAAGCACCAGCTAGTGATGTTGCAGTTGAGAAGATTGGAGTGATAAGGAAGAGGATGATGTCTTGTCTTAGATTTTTTACATTTAATTTTTCAAAGCATTTTTAAACCTCTGTATTATCTTTATTATTGCTATATCCCCAGAATGTAGGTAAGCCATTTTTATATAGAATAGAGTTCAAATGGCTTGTCTAAAGGTATATGTGCATTTAGTGATCACACATGACAATAATAAAACCTTTATTCCTCATTTCCCACATGCCAAGCACCGTGCAGTCTGCTGTGCAGCCATCTCATTCCCGTTCCTTTCTTCTTTCCATTAAACCTGACTGTGCTGGGATTTTAAAAAATATTTGTAGATTGCTTACAGGTGAATAATCGACATGTACACAACTAAGAATTAATCAATAATAATATAGTTAAATTAACTATTGAAAGTCTACTCAGGTATTCGTAAAAATCTCTTTGAGAAGGAACAGCTGGTCACGACCAGTATAATGGGGAATTAAGTTCATATTTCTTTTTTTTTTTTTTTTTTTTTAAGGCTAGTCAAGTGAAGCAGTGGGAAGGGAGAAGGAACAAAGAAATCTGTAGCTGGTTGTGATCAGTTACTTGTAAGCCCCACTGCCCTAGGACCAGTCAGCTCATATTTCTTAAGGCAGAGTTTGTAACAAGTGGTCTATATAAGCAGAACTTTCTTACTTGTGATACCTGTTGATTTTTCATTTGAAATACCTACCCAAACCACAAATAAAGCAATGTGCATTTCTGGCTAAGGTAATAGAGAATATCTTCTTTTTCTATACTCATTTTTTCTTCTCAGCAAATAAGACCTCAGATAACTCCATTAACTAGTTGTGTGCTGCTGCTTCTTGTCTTAAAGGAATTGGCATTCCTCAAAAATAAAATTAGATCAATCAGCAGAATCCCCTACTAATGCACTTCACATTTTGTTCTGTCCCCTCTCTGGCCACTGTTTTGCTGTTCTTTGCAGGGAATTAGCAATAAATTGTTGTCCCCATCCAAAAGCCACCATCCCTTTGGCCTGGAAAGAAGGGAGTTGCCACCAACATCGGTGAAATGACTTTCATCATTCACCACCAGACCCACCCAGACCAACTTGGGTCAACTATGTCTTTGATATTTCCTTTAGGTATGTTCTGCCATCCCTCCCAAGCTGCCTTTCAAAACGCTCCAGAATCATTCTAGCTGAGCCTGTCAATGTACACTCAGATACACACCCCGTCAGCAGTGTGAGCAGAAGGATGAATGCCAGGAGCTTGGGATCAGGACACAGTCCTTATTCCAGATTGCCTTTTCCTCTCCAGCAAATCAGAGTTCAAATCAACCATTTTCTGTTTGGCGAGGGAATCGGGGGAGGAGATGGAGCCTCTAATTTGAGAAAAATCAGTTGAGGAAGCCAAAGTTTAAGCATGTGAAAGAGACAGCCCTGGAGCTTAATTCTTTATGAAATTAATGACGCCAAATGCACAAGCCTTTGGAGGCAAGTCAGTGGTGCCCAAATGATTGAAGCTACGTTGTGACAGGCGGAAGGGCAAGCCCTGAGAGCCAGGGTAGCGTGAGTTGGGCAGGCTCTGCCGAAAGAGCCCTCTCTTCTTGCAGCAGGGATGGGAAGAGAACAGGAGGGAGGTGGGACTGAAAGCCAAGTCAGGGAAGCTATCCAGGCTGGTGACCACTAGCAAAGCACCATCTACAGGCAGCAAAACCAAGGGCCTGGGGCCTTAAAAAGCAACCCCAGGCTTCAGGAGTTGAGCCAGAGGAGCAAGGCAGAAAAAACAAAATCCACACCAGCTGGGTGGGGCTGCAGAACAGGGCCGTGACTCAGAGGGCCGGGGATTAGGGGAGGGCATGGATCTGGAGCATTAGAGGGGAAACAAATCAAACTTTGGTGTGAGGCTCAAAGCAGAGGCCTGTGCTTACAACCTGGATCATGGCAAGAGAATATTTGGGGGAGGATACTGTCCTGGGTATCCCCAGGATACCCAGCCATTGCATGCCAGGTTGGGTGGGTGGTGGGAAGGCCACCTGACTCCGAGGACGGTACAGGCCCTGCAGGTGTGGCTAGCAGCAGGGCACGTTCTGCTGACAGGGATGAGGAAACTTTGACTCAGGCCAAGCCCATCAGGGCTGGTCAGACACTGGACACTATTTCTGGCTAAGGTAATAGAGACTATCTTCACAGGCTTCACTTTAAGGTGCTGGGAGAAGCCACAGGCAAGAACTGATCAGGAGGAACCAAATCCCAGCAGGTATCCTGCTCTTCACCTACATAGATCTCACACATGACAACCTGGTCTCACCCTTGAAATGACTCCCTGGGCCATACAGTGTGGCCTTTTGTCACTGTGGGGAGGGGACAGGCCTGGGAGATCAGGTGACATAAATGGTGATGGAACTGGGTGTGAGGTGGGGATGGGGAGAGAAAAAGAGGAGAAGAGTTTCTCCAGAACAATGAGGTACAGCCCTAACAAGTGGTGATTCAGGTCTCTACCTATACCCCAGGGTGTTGTGAGACTCAGAAGGCTGTTTCCTAGGAGAAATGTGCATGTTGAGAGAATGCAGGATAAGGGCAAGTTTCCTTCAAGTGGAATGGCATTCTTCGTCTCTGGACAGAAGGCCCATGTGCACAGAAGGGCAGGCTTAACAAGGACACTGTCAGAAGCTGTATGTGGAGGATAGGCTCACCTAGACCCAAATTCAAACTGAGGTTCTAAGAGTTGCTTACAGTATTACTGTAGGCAGGTCAGCCACAGCCTTTCCGAGCTTCTGTTTTGTCATCCATAAACAGCATTTACGAAAGCATTGCTGGAAGGATTAGACTGAAAGAATGTTAAGTAGGGTGCTTGCCCAGAGCCTGACACATATGGGCACCTAACTAAATATTTTCAACGCTAATAGTAGCAGTAACAGTGTATTCGAATCAAGAAACCATGTGAATTCATTTTGAGAACTCACCACACCTCCACCAGGCACTAAACACCCAGCAATGAAAGACATAATTGAAAACTGACAAAATAAGAAAACTGAAATGACATAGTTGTACCCAGAAAACAAGATAAACATCTTGTGGACCAGAAACAACACAGAAACTCTCCATAGTCAAGTGGGGGTGGAGGCGAGCAGAGGCGGCCCCCGAGGGCACTGGTGACTGGGTTTGAAGGCATACAGGGCCACCAGGACAGGAGGCTGCACTTTTATCATCCTCTTCCATGCTGTATTAGTTCGTTTTCACACTGCTGGTAAAGACATACCTGAGATTGGGCAATTTACAACAGAAAGAGGTTTAATTGGATTTACAGTTCCACATGGCTGGGGAAGCCTCACAATCGTGGCATAGGGCAAAGAGGAGCAAGTCACGACTTACATGAATGGCAGCAGGCAAAGAGAGAGAGCTTGTGCAGGAGAACTCCTCTTTTTAAAACCATCAGATCTCATGAGACCTATTCACTGTCATGAGAACAGCTTGGGAAAGACCCATCACTATGATTCAATTGTCTCCCCCCAGCTCCCTCCCACGACACGTGGGAATTCAAGAGGAGATTTGGGTGGGGACACAGCCAACATCACATGCCTTTGTGGACTGTATTCTAATTATCATTTACATCAATAGCCTCTTCACCCCATCCACAGGCAGAGAACTTCTCCAGCGCAGAAACTGAGTTGTCTTCATCTTTATGCTCTACACTTCTCCTTGTGCCAAGTGCGTGGTCTGTGTTCAGACTAAGAGAGAAATAAAAGGAAAAGACGTGAAAATTTTATAAACTCACAAAGAATCAGGTGGATCTAATATCTGCTTTTAAAACCTATCCTTGCAGCTCTTGAAGAGAGGCCTGGGAAATTCCTGCTGATCTAAATAGGTTGAGGGTTGCACCTCTGCTTTGCTTTGTATTAGCTATGTGACTAGGACCATCAATCAGTGGTTTATATGTTATCCCGTGGGTGAAACATGCACTGAATGTCTCATTTTTCAACTGGTCACTGTGATGCCATACACATAACCAGTATTTCTGTACATTTCCACTCCATGTTCATATAGTAGAAATACCCTTCCCTGTGCCTTTCTCCTTTCTAGGGAAATGGATAAACAAACAGATCTATGGGAACTTTAGAAAGGCCTTGAAATAAAAGTTTAGAGTGATATCTTTTTTTGTTTCAAGATCAAAATGTTTTCATTTCCTTTGTTCATTTTTCTATTACAGACCTCACATTCCAGTCAGCAAATTAGTTGTTTCAGAATCCTATGATACTTATATCAGTAGAAGTTTCCAAGTAACAAAAGAAATAATAAGTGAATGTAAAAGTAAAGGTAGGTGGTATTATTCTGGACTCCATCATTTACATACATGCTCATTTCTCTGTAACGGTTAATAGGCTATTCAAGATGTTTCAACTTGCTTTGGCTAACCAGTCTAATAGGAAAGAAATGTATTTCCAGATTTCCTTCCAGATACTTTCACATTAAATTTGTAATATTCTCTAAGTAACTAAAATGGTAGATAATACAGGGGTTTACACCAGACTTAATTACTATTCTTAATAACTTAAATTCTGTGTTAGAGCTATTCATCTTGCACTCTGTGAAAGAGATTCTCTCTTACAATTTCCAAAAGCTCTAGAATGCCACTGTTTTGCCTATAATTGATCCGGCACACCTGCACAAACACACATACCTTCCCTGCTATCAACAACCAAGAGCTGTGTTCTGTAAGGCTCAACTGTGTCTGCTATTGAATTTTCTAAACCTTGAGCTCAAATATTTAATATGTAAGACTGTTCACTATAAATTTTTTAGTGAAAAGGATTACAAAAAAAGTATGGACATTCCCTTCATCTCTTTTTATCTTTTAAGTTAAAATACTTATATTCAAATGTTAACAGTAGACAGCCATGAGCAACAGTATTATGGATGATTCCCACCTTCCAGTTTTCATTGATTAGCCACTCACTACCATAAAGGTAAATAACATGCTTGGCCGGGCGCGGTGGCTCAAGCCTGTAATCTCAGCACTTTGGGAGGCCGAGGCGGGTGGATCACGAGGTCAAGAGATCAAGACCATCCTGGTCAACATGGTGAAACCCTGTCTCTACTAAAAATACTAAAAATTAGCTGGGCATGGTGGCGTGTGCCTGTAATCCCAGCTACTCAGGAGGCTGAGGCAGGAGAATTGCCTGAACCCAGGAGGCGGAGTTTGCGGTGAGCCGAGGTCGCGCCATTGCACTCCAGCCAGGGCAACAAGAGCGAAACTCCGTCTCAAAATAAAATAAAATAAAATAAAAAAGGTACATAACATGCTCTATCAACCAGAAAGTCTCAAGTGCTCACAGTTCTACAGTGGGAACATTTAAAACTCTATTAGAGGCCAGGTGCAGTGGCTCATGCCTGTAATCCCAGCACTTTAGGAGGCCAAGGTGGATGGATCACGAGGTCAGAAGTTCGAGACCAGCCTGACCAACATGATAAAACCCTGTCTCTACTAAAAATACAAAAATTAGCCAGGCATGGTGGCACGCGCTTGTAATCCCAGCTACTCAGGAGGCTGAGGCAGGAGAATCGCTTGAACCTGGGAGATAGAGGTTGCAGTGAGCTGAAATTGCACCACTGGACTCCGGCCTGGGTGACAGAGCAAGACTCCGTCTCAAAAAAACTATATTAGAAGGAGTAGCATGGAGAGCCATGTGGACATAAAACAGTTCTGTATCTTGATTGTCACGGTGGTTACACAAAGCTACTACACATGTGATAGAATTGCATGAACCATATCGTCACATACACACAAACAACTGCTTGCATGCCTGCTAAAATCTGAATATGCAGTGTGTATGGTACCGGTGTCCATTTCCTGGGTTTGATACCATACCATAGTTATGTAAGATGTTATCGTTGGAGGGGCTGGGATGAAGGGTTCATGGGACCACTGGTATGTATGTACGTGTGTATGTATGTAACCCTCCCATAGATATATAATAATAATAATAATTATTATTATTATTATTGAGACAGGGTCTTGCTCCTGTCACTCAGGCTGGAGCAAAGTGATGCATTCATGGCTCACTATAGCATCAGTCTTCTAGGCGCAAGTGATCTTCCCACATCGGCCTCCCAAGTAGCTGGGAATACAGGCACAAGCCACCACACCCAGCTAATTTGTTTCTAATTTTCTATAGGAACAGGGGTCTCACTGTGTTGCTCAGGTTGGTCTCAAAACTCCTGAGCTCAAATGATCTTCCCTTCTCATTCTCTCAAAGTACTGGGATTACAGGGATGAGCCATCACTCCTGGTCCCATCAATCTGTAACTATTTTAAGATAAAAAATTTTCGTTAAAAAAATTAGGCCAGGCATGGTGGCTCACGCCTGTAATCCTAGCACTTTGGGAGGCCAAGGTGGGTGGATCACCTGAGGTCAGGAGTTCAAGACCAGCCTGGCCATCATGGTGAAACCCCATCTTGAAAAAAAAAAAAAAAAACAATTAAGCTGACTCGGCCGGGCGTGGTGGCTCAAGCCTGTAATCCCAGCACTTTGGGAAGCTGAGGCAGGTGGATCATGAGGTTGAGAGATCGAGACCATCCTGGTCAACATGATGAAACCCCATCTCTACCAAAAATACAAAAAATTAGCTGGGCATGGTGGCACGTGCCTGTAATCCCAGCTACTCAGGAGGCTGAGGCAGGAGAATTGCCTGAACCCAGAAGGTGGAGGTTGCGGTGAGCCGAGATGGTGCCATTGCACTCCAACCTGGGTAACAAGAGCGAAACTCTGTCTCAAAAAAAAAAAAATTAAGCTGCCTTAACAATAGCAAGGCACTTTCAAAACATTGCTTAGACAAATTGTCTTCTTGAGTGTATTTGTTCCCCTCCAGAGCATTTAGTTCGCTTCCAGTATTTGGGAAGTTTCCATGTGTTTATAAAAACTGTCTTCCTATTCCTTGCCATTTTCCCCCAGGAAATAACATCCTGATTGTGGCCCACGCATCTTCCCTTGAAGCGTGTACCTGCCAACTTCAGGGCCTGTCACCTCAGAACTCCAAGGACTTTGTACAAATGGTCCGAAAGGTAATTCATGCTTGTTCTTTGGGGTCTGTAGTGGCTAGTAGTTTGAGGTCAGCACAATGACTGGCTGATTACTAACTTCTTTGAAGCACATGTTTATGCTGAGCTGGGAATATTTATTTATTGATTCACTCGACTAAGATGTATTGAATGATACTCTGTGCAGGGCATTTTATTAGGTCTTGGTGTTAGAAAAACAATGTGTTAGAGCTAGTTCTAGCTTCTAAGAGCTAAAATGTAGGAAGCATCTAGGAATTATAAGCAAATTGTCTGGATTTCCCCGAGGGAACATGGATTGGATTAATAGCTGTCAAGTCGAAAAGACAGCATTCAAAAGCTTAACTCAAAGACAGGTCCTTGAAGGTAGTCCAAGGCATGCAGCAGTTTAAAATGAGGAGGATGGCCGGACGCGGTGGCTCATGCCTGTAATCCCAGCACTTTGGGAGTCTGAAGCGGGTGGATCAGGAGGTCAGGAGTTCCAGACCAGCCTGGCCAAGATGGTGAAACCACTTCTTTACTAAAAATACAAAAATTAACAGGGCATGGTGGCATGTGCCTGTAATCCCAGCTATTCGGGAGGCTGAGGCAGAAGAATTGCTTGAACCCGGGAGGCAGAGGTTGCAGTGAGCCGACATGGCATCATTGCACTCCAGCCTGGGTGACAGAGTGAGACTACGTCTCAAAAAAAAAAGGGAAAAATGAGGAGGCTAAAGGGCAAAGCCAGGAACAAGACAGCAAGACAGAAAACCCATGAGGCTGCCCCACACATCTGGAGTCTTCCTTTCTGTGCCTGTGGGAGAGGTTTTCTGGTCAGCTGCCTCCCACACGTTTCCCTTCAGGCGAATTACATACTTCCTTTCTCTGCCACCAGAGAACCTGGTTCAAAGTCAATTGCGATTTTTTTCTCACATTTTTGAAAAGTTTATTTATGCATCTGTCCTCATTTGGAAGACAGAATTTTGTCTTGCTTGTAAATGCAGCTCTGGACACAGACAAAAGTAAGTTTTAAAATTGCTGTAATGACTGAAGTGAGGGAGAACACAGCTTCAGCTTTGAATGTTACAGAGACTCATAAGGGAAAAAAAAAACGGGTGAAACAAATATTTTGAAATTGAAAAATCTTTTCCATTGGGTTCAAGTATAATTTCAGAAATGTTTGAGCTGCCTTTTTCTTTTCTTTTTTTTTTGAGGCAGAGTCTTGCTGTGTCACCCAGGCTGGAGTGCAGTGGCACGATCTTGGCCCACTGCAACCTCTGCCTCCTGGATTCAAGTGATTCTCCTGCCTCAGCCTCCTGAGTAGCTGGGATTACAGGCACAGGTCACCACGCCCAGTTAATTGTTTTGTATTTTTTTTAGTGTAGACAGGGTTTGCCATGTTGGCCAGGCTGGTCTTGAACTCCTGACCTCAAGTGATCCGCCCACCTCAGCCTCCCAAAGTACTGGGATTACAGGCATAAGCCACTGTGCCCGGCCTTGAGCTGCCTTTTAACTTGACTGGCAATTAGGAATTAACTCCTGGCATTATAGCCTTATGTATTTTGGTCTTCTTTTCTTTCACCCAATTAAGCAGCAATCTATGAACAATGACTTAATTATGTTAAACGAGGTCACCATTTAACAGATCCTTTTGATGAATCCTCTTGCAGTATAAATACTCTTCCCTCTAAGTTATCAGTTTTATCCATTTTATTTTATTTACTGATGTTTGAAGGGAAGGGAATGCATATCTACAAAGCCTCTATTCATTCCTGACTGCCATTCTCTAGGGCCACATGAATATCTTTGTATCTAGGTAAAAGTTAAAGCAGTAAACCTATCTTCTAATATCCCCTTTCTTTACAACTCTTACTTCAGATCCCATATCTGGGATTTTGTTCCTGTGAAGAATTAGGAGAAACTGGAATATGGCAGCTGACAGATCCACCAATCCTTCCTCTTACCCATGGACCAACCGGGGGCTTCAACTGGAGAGAGACCTTGCTTCAAGAATAAATCACAGGAGTGAATGGGAAGAAAAGGCCTTTTGGAGACGTGTCTTTTTGTGTGTTTAAAAACAGTGGGAAGATCCACACCACATTCTAAGTGGACAGCTCAGAATAATTTAGCATATTTCCTTTCACACTTAAAGTTCTTCAGATGAGACTGTGTCAATGAAAGACTTGATTCAGAGGGGAAAAAAATGTGTTCTCTCTGGACTCTTCCCTAGCTCACAAGGCTTTGGAGAATTGTCTTCCTTTAAACTGGGGCATCTGCTACAGCAGAGAAAGTTTCCTTCCTTCTGGGTATGCACAGCTAAGGGGCCTCATTTCTTCCAGAGGGAGCCGCTGACCCGCTCTAAGGGACGCAGGAGGAAGGAGTGTGCCCAGACCAGCTGGGGGAGCATTCAAAGGGCAGTTTGGAAATGGAATCTTCTTTTGATCTCCATTTTCTAGTTAGGCAGAGCCAAGCTGAGGAATCCTTATAAGATTATTAGCAAACATGCCCTGAAGAAAGTTGGTTTTAGATTACACATGAAATCCTACCCTTACTAGACCCCACACACCAGTGTCGCTGGCTGAAGACACCTGCTTAAGGATGCTAACATTTACCTTGGTACTGCCACAGTTTTCTCTAGAGCTGGCCCTTCTTGCTACAGCCCTTCCCCCCTTGCTTCTGTGAAATGGGAAGACAAAGCACTTTTGGATACTCAGGAGGAAAGATAAGATACATGTGTGAAGCATTTAATCATAGGAGCAAAGAACTTGCAAAATAGGAAGTGACTTTGGAATGACACATGTTGTAGCCTAACACGCTACTGCATTTCTAAATCACCAAAGTTGCTTGTCTTTGCCCCTAGATTATAGCCCAGGCGTCCCCAGACTTTTTACACAGGGGGCCAGTTCACTGTCCCTCAGACCGTTGGAGGGCCACCACATACTGTGCTCCTCTCACTGACCATCAATGAAAGAGGTGCCCCTTCCTGAAGTGTGGCGGGGGGCCGGATAAATGGCCTCAGGGAGCCGCATGCGGCCCACGGGCTGTAGTTTGGGGACGCCTGTTCTAGACTATGTTAACTAGTTAAGGATGTCACAGTTTGAACGGATGTGTGTTAGATACATTACCTGCAGCAAGAAGTTCATTCTGTGCAATATGGATATGTTTGCAAATCATACCAAGGGTCAGGTTGTTGTACATTTACAGTACATGTCAACCATAACAGAACATTCACAAATGCATCAGTTATGCCAGGGATGTATAGTAAGTCAGGGAACTAATTTAAACGGTGACGGTCATGGCTGCATTGCCACTTGTGCTGTCGTCTTGTTTGTTTTTCTATGATAATTTAAAATATATAAGTAGGGATACTTGAGGAAATGTGGAGAGCCACCTTCGGTGGTTTCTCATTATGCTTACTTCCTGCATTTAGAGGGAGTTTATTTAAAGAAAAATAAATGACAATCAAACCAAATCATCAGTTATCAATGTCTGTTTAATTGTGTGACTATCTGACAGTCGATGGCCACAGATGATGGTCTGCTGTGGTATAGCTGACGCTGTAGAAGATGTGCAAAGTGGAATGCCAGCCCTTTACAGAAACATGAGTTAGTGTACAAGGAATGTTTATATGTTGTAATAACATTGACTACATTTCAAAGCTCAGATGCATAAAATGTATGGCATATAAAAACAGATCTATGCTTGTATTTGAAACTAGAACTTGATAACCCCTAGAAAGAAGAGGACGTGAAAGGATGCTGGCTACATACATTAATCAGTAAAAGGATTATAGTTGTTTTATTTTGTTTTTAGAGACAGGGTCTCACTATATTGCTTAGGCTGGTCTTGTACTCCTGGGCTCAAATGATCCTCTTGCCTCTGCCTCCCAAAGTGCTAGGATTACAGGTGTGAGCCACCATGCCTGGCCTATAGTTGTATTTTTTTAGGTCACTTAGAAAAAGATGTCATGTATTTTACATTTTGAGAAACAAATCATGGTTTCTTCTGGCATTGCACAAACGCCGACCTACCTTCTGGGTATGGAAATAGACCTGTAGTGACACGTTAATTTAAATGTCGTGGGGGAATAGTCCCAATAAAGGTCTTAAAAGTCACATTATAACTAATGTAATGGCTCTACCATTTATTCTTCTGGTATTTGTAATGAAGTGAATCCACCGTTTAATCAGATCCACAATCTTTAACAGACTCACCACAAATTTTCGTGAGCGTTGAGGGCTCAGAATGATGCTTGAATGTCTCACCTTGAAACTGTAGCAGTGTAGCTGTAACTGTGTGACACAGAGTCTGGAACAGGTTATCCGCTCCATCTCCCTAGGTTGTCTTAGTCCTGTGATGACCTGATACATCTGTTTGACTGGGCTACAATCCATTGTTCTTAGTCCAATATGGACACTGCCTTAGGCAATGGTCTATATAAGCAAAAGGAGATAGACATTTAAAATAATTTTTTGAGTAATTTAGGTGGGAAACAAGACAGAGTGTATTTCTCTGCTTTCGTTATTCAAATTGCTTGTCAAAATGGCCCAAAAGATCTGAATTCGCATTAAGTTCTTGCACACTTACCTATTTAAAAAACGAAACTTGTACTGCAATTGAGAAATTATTTGGAAATCATGTGGAATCTATGTATAATAACAGAAACAGACAACTATATTACTCAATTTCACATACATCCAAAAATTATAGACTAATATTAAATATAACCTCAAGTTGTGGCTGGTTCTTTTTGATCTAAGTTAATGCTTATTAGAACAAATGATGTATAGGTTGAGGAGAAGTAAGGAAGGGCAAGGAAGGAGTTGACAGATAAGAAGCAATGGTTTCCTGTACAGAGGAATTTTTTTCTGAGACGGAGTCTTGCTCTGTCACCAGGCTGGAGTGCAATGGCGCAATCTCAGCTCACTGCAAGCTTCGCCTCCTGGGTTCAAGCGATTCTTCCGCCTCAGCCTCCCGAGTAGCTAGGACCACAGGCACATGCCACCATGCCCAGCTAATTTTTTTGTATTTTTAGTAGAGACAGGGTTTCACCGTGTTGGCCAGGATGGTCTCGATCTCTTGATCTTGTGATCTGCCCACCTAGGCCTCCCAAAGTGCCGGGATTACAGGCATGAGCCACTGCGCCAGGCAGGAATTTTTTTTCTTTTTTTTTAATGTTAGAAAGTTATTTGAAATGAACTAGGTGAAAATAAATTAACTAAATGATTTAATCTGAGATTGAAAGTCTGAAACCGTTTCCTTCTTCTACAAGTGTGCCACATCAATCTGGTAATGCCCTAGTGTTATTCATAGATAGAACTTTGTTTCCTGTGATTTTAAAATACCGCATCTATTCCTCCATGGACTAGAGTAATTGGCACATTTTAATGCATAAGCTGGGGGTCTCATTTTCCCAGGCTCTCTTCACCATCACTGCATTGGTAGCTAGGAGCTTATTGCTTACCCCAGTATGGAGTTCAGATTACAGTGTTTTCCATTACATTTAGATTCATAGAATCTGAATGGCTGATTAAATGGCCATCTGATGGCTGAAAGAGGGGAGTATTTTTCACTCTATAGTGAAAGGCTTGGAGGAGTTTCTACTTTTTATTTTAATTACACTTTAACCAAAGAATTATTTTAAAGTAACCTTATATTTGAAAGATGATTTTGCAAAAAATAAAAAATAAAAAATTTGTCTTCCGGAGTGACGTCTGTTTGGTAAATAATTGTTGATAATTTCCTTGTTAGTGGTATTTGGAATGCATATAGATTGTCTTCTCAGTGTGCTTAGCATTACCATAAATGTATCTTTTCCACTCAACTAGCTGTATTCGTATTAAAATGAAGTCTCTTATTTCAATTACCTTGTGTCACTGGGAACTAATTGAACAGCTACAGTAAAAGTTCCTATCTCATTGCCTTTGTGGAAAGGCCTGCCTGTGTGGTAAAAGGAAGGCATTCCTCCATAACCTAGGCACTCTGCAAGTCCAGTGTTGAATTTCAAAGCAGTGATGAATTGCTGTTTTGAAATTACTCTAAGTAATCCATGTGTTAGAATACAGATGAACCTCCGTTTGATTTCACAGGCTTCAGCACAGACAACTGTTACCGAATCTGCACGAACTTAGATAATGAGGTGCAGGGTTATTTGCATTTAAATTGTAATCCAGCACACGTGTGAGAAAGAAGAGGCGCTAGTCTAACGAGGCTGCCTTGCCGGGAGAGATGAGACGGGTGGAGGAGGGTGGAGAAAAGAGCGATTTTAACATCTATTTAGGTTAATGTTCACTTTACAAAGGTGATGGGGGATATTTTGTTAGGTGACGGCAGATGCTTTTCATTTTTAAACATAGGATTAAAATTGGATTTGCTTCTCTTTAATACTTTAACATATTGAATTTTCCTAGGAAAGTGACTAGCTATAATGAAAATCCAAGGGGAGGGGGAAAAAGATTATAAATGTAGATGAAATAACTTCATTTTCAAAAACAAATAATAGTAGGTTTGGTGTATATAGGTTTAAAATTATAGTGACGAGTAGACAAACTTAATATACAATCAGTTCTTGCAAATATTTTACACTTAGCTGCCATTACTCACACAACAAATTGGAATTTTGCAGCTGTTCAACTATCATGGACTCTGTACAGGATAGATGTGTATAATGGAAAATATGTACTGCTTCTTTCTTTGATTGTCACTCAATATGCAAACACAGTGCCAAGGCATTTGGTTATACACAGATGATTCTACACCTGTTATTCTAGAGAGGTATATTGGTTTCTTTCTCATTTATAAGGCTATTGTATTTTTTTTTCTATGTGATTCAGGTGTATTTATTTGAGGAATATTTGTAATTATAGGAAAACCACACCTACCTGTATTGCCAAGTTCTTTGTAAACTCTCCGTTGCATTTGTGCTTTCCTGGCTGAGAGCTCTCCCCTGTTGATACAGCTATGGCACCATTGTAATTACAGATGCGCCTTTCAGGACCATCTCCGTTAAATGGTTCGCAGATGACTTAAT